CGATTGGCAAGTGTATTCTGCGGGATGAAAGCGCGTTGAAGAAGAAAGAGAGAGAGAAAGAAAGGAGGTAGGGGAGGGGAGGAAAAGGAGGGAAATCGATTCTATGGAGAGAGCAAATTGGTAACGCGGGATTATTTCGAGCATCGGCGAGTTAATGACGTGAAATAAATGCGTGGTTGCGTAAAATGCGCACACCTCGCCTCTTGATGGCTCTTGATCGATTAATTTGATTAATCTTAATTTAATATCCACGCGTATGTATATAGATATATATATATCTAAAACGTGTGTCAATTTAATAATTCGATACATTTATATAAAATAGCGTGGCGGCCTTCGTTTTCATTAAATTCTCGTACGCAAAGGCGGCCGATGAACCGAATTAAGCGATACATTATCATTAATGTGACGATAAAAATGCACGAAATAACTTTTGCACCCTTTTATCTCGGCGCTGATAATCGCCTTCGTTCTTCTTTTTAATAATGCATCCAGTGAAATGGATGAATGGAATGAATTCTCGTATAAAAATGAGGCAGGTTTTTGTCCTTCGTTTCGAAAGATTTCGTCGCGATAAAATTGAAATTGGAAACACTGTGATTAATTTATAAATTAATTGATCGGTTTCCATAAGAAACAATAGAAAATTAGAATTATCTTCTTAAAATCTAAATTTCATTAGAACCATTTACGTGAAAAAGAAATAATATACAGCGAACAATTTAGTAATATCTCGAATAAGAAATATTTAATTCTTACGATAATTTGTAATAATAAAATTTTGAAATTTGAAATGGTAATTGGATGATCTTCCAATGATTTTTCCAATTCGTTTCGTTCTTTTTTTCGTTGTGTTATAGTAGTTGGAAATAAAATAGAGGTTAAAAATATAGAGTCGTTTTTCTCGCTTTCCACCTGAAAATAATTTCGCGGATGTAACAAATACATAGTCATTACAAAGAGCGCAAAATAACTTGTCAAAAAGATAAAGAAATTAATTTCACGCGTATATCGAGTCCATTAACCGACAGACAAAGAGAACAATTCAATTTCTCAAACTGATATTTCAAATGATTTTTCCAAATATTTTTATGCGTAAATAAAATTCAACATAATTTAACCCTGTACAAAAATTGAAACAAAATTTTTGCTCGTTTTCGTCCATTTCTTTTTCTTTTTTTCAATTTTCAAATATCAATAATCTCAAATTAAGAAAAAAGAAATATTCTAAAATTAATAGAATTTTCAATTTATAATTAAAAAAAAGAAATAAATAAATCAAATTCCTTTTACGTTGAAAAATTAAAGGACACACGAGCGAGACTTTTGTTTTTCGATCCTTTGCTAAGCACGATAAATGGTTCTAATTATTATTGAATTAAGAAATCAATGGAGCAATTATGCTCGTGCTAGATGAATATTACTGACGATGTTTGACATGCAGCCTAGGAACCGGATCTTGCGGCCAAGCCACGTTCTGCGCAGCTAAGCTGATTAGCGCCAAAATTCGCAGCGATGTGCTCATTTTGGTAGCGAGTGGCCCTGCAGGGTATCCTATGAATCAGCGGTAGCTTTCAATCCTCGTCATCGCCGCACCGATCGTCATTCCTGAAAAAAAAGGGAAAATTTATTGAAGTTTCATTCAATAAAATCGAAAAGAAAGCGGTGTCTATAAATATTTGTTTTTTATAAAAACAAATAAAAGAATTTAAGAGGAAATTAGAGGGGAATATTTGCATTGTTAAGTTGTAAAGTTTATTTTAAAGTTTTAAACTCGCTCTTAATATCTACTATTTTATTTAAAGTGCCGTTGCTTAAGAAAGCGATTAAAAATCATTTCGATTTACGTGCTTAATAAAAAAAAAAAAATGAAGGAAGAATAAACATCGCGATATAAACACTTTATCATATGACATATAATACTTAATTATCTAACTTCAAAGCAGTGCGCTTAAAGAGCTTTGCCGGAATCTAGGTCCCTCCCTCACTTTATTACCGTGAAGAGGAACTTGAAAGAAGAAGTTACCCAGTTCATTCTCATAAATGTGCCGAGATGAAATCCAGCAATAATATTAAAAAAATAATATCCACGCAATAACAACAATTCGTGCAAATATAATTAATTTGTGAAATAAAGAAAAAAAATTCTCCTTCCTCCTATTATACTCTACATAGAATCATATTCCTTTGCAATATTTTTTGACAACCATATAAAACATAATTTAAAAGAGAGAATGTTTCTCCTATTTTCTTCTTTCTCTATCATCGCCGTCAAGAAATTCGCTATTGAGAATAAAACGAAAAAAAGAAAAAGAAAAAACAAAAAGTGACACGTAATTCCACAACGATATCTCAACAACAGAGGAGAGAAAGATCCTGTCACCGTCGCGGTAGGAAAAAGTTTCTCACGTGGCCGCGTTAAAAATGCATGCATTTCTTAAAAATCTTGCCGGTTCTTAACAACGCTGGGATGGCGCAACGGTGGGCTCAGAACGGTGTCACGAGCGTCTTTGTTCTTTTTTTTTTTTTCCACGGACCAAGTTATACATTGCACGGCTTCCTCCATCCGGAGGGGTGGTATCAGGCCAGACATTCGAGGAGGAAAGGAGGAGGAGGAAAGGCAACGAAGGGAGGGAGAAGATAAAAGGCTAACGAAGGAGAAACGTTGAAGGACCTCCGACTGAAACGAGCGCGGCAACGACGATGAACAAGACGACGACGACGACGACGACGACGACGACGACGACGATGGTATGCATTATGCAGAGAGGTCGCCAGCTCAAGCTTCTATTTGTCCTCGAGCTTTCGTGGCAGTCGACACCGGTGCCGCCGCGACTTCGAATACATTCGCGATTAGGTGGCAAATCGGATGTACACCTATGCATACATATGTATATATATATATATATATATATATATATAAAGGTTTTCGTTGAATCGAGCCGCATATCTAGCGTCGCCAACCAACCGCCATTCCCCACGCAAAACGTACAGCTTAATTCCGTTTCCGTTTGCCCGACAGCTTCTTCGCCCCCTCCTCCCCTCCCCTCGAGCGCCATTTGTCATCTCGAATCCGCTTGAGATCCATGAAAGGATTCAGCATCGATCGACCACCTTGAATCGAGTTGCAATGAAACAACAAAGGGGTTGGTGCTTTTTGATACTGTTCAAATTCAAGGGATCGAATAACCGACTTGGCCTGCGAAGTATCGCGTATCGCGCGGTCAATAAGAAGATTCGAGGATTCAACTTCTCTTTAATAGGGATTAATAGAATTTTGCGTGTGTTTAAAATAATTTTGTAAATTTTAGATACAATGGATTAATTCCCTCCTCCTCGTATTCCATGGGAAATAAAATTTATTTACAATCTCTTTCGTTCTCAAAACTTGATTCAAGGGATACAAATTTTCAAGGAAAATTATGAAATTGGAAGAAAAAACACAATTCCAGGCCGCCACGCAATCCACGTGACGGATCAATAACCCCTTTTTTTCTTTTCTTCTTTTTTTTACAACTTCCGCCTCCTTATACAAATGCTATTAGCCTAATCAGATTTCTCCGTGAACGAATGTAAAGATCGCTCTCAAATTGAATTTAACCCCGTGCGCGCGCGTGTCGTGTCGCGTCAGCCCCGAAACGAAACGAGTAAGATGAAACCTCGAGATAACCGATTCTCTCTTCGATGATCTTTCGAAACGGTGGCTCATAAAGACATAAACCGTATGAATTCTAATCCCTCGTTTCGACACACACGCGTTCGAAACAAACGCGTTGAAACAAAGGCGGAGAAAAGAGGAGAAGAAACAAGGGGAGAGATAGTTCTCGATAGTTTCTACGGCGATACGATCGTAAATTTTCGCGAAATAGAGGCGTACTCGTTTCCCAGGGGACCGCTTGAAAACAGGAGGGAAAAGTGCAACACGGACAAAGTGCTCGCCATATATACGGTGCACGCATCTGAGAGAGGGCGAGAGCCGGTCTCTTAGGCGTGGCTCGCCCTACTTTCGAGACGAGCCACTGTTGGATCGAGAGTCACTTCCCTCCAGCATCCTCACAGTCACCGCCGGTTTCCGATTCCTCTTGGTGGTAGGTAGCGCGAAACCACACTTTCTCTTACGAGTCACGACCCGCCCAGCAAGCTACGATCTCTCGATCGAATGGAAACGGAACGGAAACGCAACGGATAGGGGAAGGGATTTAATTTTCCTCGTCGTGGATCGGGGGAAAAATCTCGAGGGGTTAGGTCTGGAAACACGTGAGGAAAATTAAGGCAGCGAAATTTTCACTTGATCGTTTCTCTCTCTCTCTTTTTTTTCGAATCGGTAACACGCATTGGAAAATCGCGTAGAGTATCGCGGATACGGTTAATTTTGGCTCGTTACTTTAGCCGATCGAATTTCAATAGAGGTCTCTACAAAAATACCGGGCCATTCAATCGTGAGAATATAGGGCAAATATTGTGCTCTCGATATAAATCGGCTAAAAAGAGGGAAAAAAAAAAAAAAAAAAAAGAAGGAAAGAAAACACCTTTTATTCATGCCGTTTAAACACAGCTATTCTGCGAGGGGAAAAAGAACAATAACAAGGGAATCCTTGTATAAAGGGCCATAGAATCGTGATAACAATGAAATCGCCGCTGCAAGCGCAACGCTGCATCGTGTTTCCAAATGGTATCCAAACAAAACGTGATTTTAATGAACTTTTCATGCATTAACGACGATACCCACGCGATCAATTTTCATATTCCAGAGATCAAAGTAGGTCAAGGAATATCGAAAGAATATCGAGAGAGAAAGATGGGAAGATGAATAAGATAAGAAAAATTTGTTATCGACGATAGGTTAAGCATGAAAGGAAGTAGCAAAAGTAGTTTCTCGTAATTATTCATGCGTTCGCATTGTGCGTGGTTGAAACTAGGTCAAGAAATGACAGAAACGAATTGAAGAAGGCAAAAGAGGATCGAAAAATTACAGAGATAGATGGCGAAACTCTAGGCAACAATGGCCAAGTGAACGGGCGAAAAGAGAGCCAGGGAAAATTCACGGGCAACAACAACGCGCCACGTGTAATTATCCATGCGCTTTGTGCGTACAGCGCCTGAATAAGAGCAACCAGCGAGGACACGATCACGTGACCGCTCGGACCGTGTATAATTCTAGACCGATCGTTCACCGTTCAACGAGCCGAGGATCAAAGCAAAAACAGTAGGCCTGCTCTCACGTCTTTCTCGCGATTTCCAGCTTTGTGAAATCCTCCACGATGCTCTGTGCCGTGATCGTTTGTTTCGCGGCTTTCAAAGAGCGTTCTCTCATATACGAGGTGTCTCTCAAATTGCCAACGGATAATCGAAAAAAAAGGAATATCATCGCGTTTCTTGACTTTTCATCTTCCAATATTATTCTCAAAATGAATAAATGAATATTCGATCAAAATAAAATAAAATTCTTTCGATGTATTTGGCTAAAAGTGAGCCAAGAGATTTCAATTGTTTTTACTCGAAAGTAAGAAGGAAAATTTCTTTAAAAAAAATTTATTAAGAACCACCCTCTCCATTTCCATCACCCGGTACACACGTATCGATCTAACCGCCCTCTCTTCTTTTTTTCCTCCGCGTCTCGTTTGCCTACCCTTTCTCCTTTTTTTCCCTTCCGCCTTCCTCGCATCGTCATCGGCTAACACCTGTGCAACGCCAACGCCTTCTCGACTTTTTCTATTTTTATCGGTGCGCGTTTACACCTAGAGATCCCATTCCTTCGCGAGTGGGGCAGGTCTATCGCGAATTTATCGGGCCGATAAATCGGTGAAGCCCGATCGCGGTCATCCATTTTTATTCCACTTTTTTCGCACAGTGGGCCGGGGAACAATACTTATCCCACCACGGGCCATGAATTCACGGACGTGTAACCGGTTGTCCTCGATTTTTCCACGACCCCGTGGATACTCCTCCCTGTCGATAAACGTCCAACTTTTCTTTTTCCCCGCGAGGGGGACATTTTCGCGCGCTTTTACCACTTTTTCTTTTTCAGGTTTTAAATCCGTGTAACAAAAGTGGATTGGATCTTCGCGATCGTTCCATCTTTTTTCCTCGAAAATGCAAAATGATACGAACGAGAAACGTTAGAGTGGATAGGGTAAAGTTCGAAAGACAAGATTACAGTGTACACGTATGCACGCCACTTTATGAGCAAGGATGAGCAACGAAACCTCGAAACTTTATCAAAACTATCCCTGTCTCATCGTCTCTCGTTGCGACAAACTTCTCATCGTGTAAAAGACAAATATCGTTGAGCGGTTCATTTTCCTGTTGAGGAATTCCTCTCTTGTAAAAATTAACGAGGACAAAGTATTTGCAATAACAATAAAATTGTAACGAATATATATGCACAATATAAACATTTTCAAACATAAATATTTAATTCATTCGAGGCGAGTGTTTCATCGAGCAGAAGACGAATTTGCAAATGGATTGTCGCAACGCTTCTTGCACATTGGGTTTCCATAAACGTAATCCCAATAAATAAGCGTTCCTTGCGAGTTGTCACGGATTTGTCAACTATTCGCGCGCTATCGACAGTCGTAATCGCGGCCGTTTAGGAATGGAATTCG